TAAAATAAATCCGCTTGGCATCTTTCTTGGCCTTAAGACAACAATTCTGATGCTAAAGATCCAAACGGGACACAAAAATAAATAAATAAATAAATAATGTGACCTTATTAAGGTCGCATTAATAAGCTCAGATGGGTGATGTAAAAATGGCATCTTTGGTTTACGATCTAAAAGACTGATCATATATTTGCATCTATACAGTTTTATATTTCTGCTGCAGTTTTGTAGTTTCCACTAAAAAAAAATATGTAAATTTGCAACAAAATAACAGTTTTTACTTTACAGTCAAATAACTGTAAAACTGGAATACCTGTAAATCAGTAAGAGAAATTAAGTTTATAAATACAGTTATTCTGTTGTTTATTATTGTACGGAAGATTTACAGTTATTTTACTTTACAGTGAAAGAACTGTAAATCTGTAGTAAATAACTACAAATTTACAGTTATTTTAATTTGGCTTTCCAGCTGTTTTAACTGGGTTTCCACAGATTTACATTTATTTTATTTTACAGTGAAAAACTGCAGATTTACAGTTATTTTAATTGGGCTTTTTGCAGTGTCCTCCAGTGCAGCTCAGTTCAAATCTGTCAGGTTTCTGGGTGAATTGGCCTTGACACACTCTAAGGACTTCTTTGTCTCCCCTGAAGAGGGAAAAACCCCAAATCCCCCTGTTCATTTTCCAGAGCACCAGTGTCTTCAGTACTGGTTCAGGATGATTAGAGAGGAGAAAATGGCACCTTCACCGAGGGGCAGTGAGTCAGCAGAACGCGACGCCAACTCACAAAGAAAATTTTTTGTAATTCTGTCGAACGATTGCCAGCCTTTGTCTGCAGGAGAGTCCTTGAGAAAGTGGACGACAGTGCACGCAGACATCAGACTCGAGCTTACTGAGGAGTTGTGTATGTGGTCTCACTGTGCAGGCATCATCCTGTTTTTTGACAATTAAATGGAATATTATCATCATTATCATCACGATCAGCACCAACCTTAGCGAGTGCAGGGGGGGCTGCAGCTGACTTTGAGCAGATTTCTTTTGAAAAATGATTCTGAGTGTGCGCTTTCATCCCACCTCTATCTCCTTCTCATACATAATTAATCCGCGAGTATTAGGCAGCTCAAAATTTCCATATTATAATATGAAGCTTGTGTTTTGAAGCGTGTGAATTACCATACTGTTTCTGGAATTTTTCTAACAGTTTAGCTAAGCGATGGAGCCAGACTGGAGCGGACATTCGGCAAACGCGCAGCAAATCTGTCGCACAACAAATGCGCGTGTAAGCTGTCGACGTGTCTTGTTTTTTCCCCAGATTGCAGCCGTTAATCTGTCCTCTTCTTGTCCCGTGCAGGTGCCTGTTCCTGCCCAGCCTGGCGCCTCACAACGCTCCCACCAACAACACCAATGCTTCAGGTGTCAGCGATGGAGCAGTTCTGAGCGGGATGGGCACAGGTAAAAATAGATCATTGTGCTGGGTCAGATTCCATTTACTGTAGCACAAAGGTCACCGACTGGTTGGGCCTCGGGGTATCTGCTAGCATGAACGTGGAGGCTGATTTTATAGGTTAACCAGGCACAGCGGCCCACCGAGCTACACTTTGAAGCTGCAACATAAAGGTCAGTGACATAACTAATTCTAGCCCTTACAATAACCAAAGGACATAGTAGTAATGGATTTGCTTTTCTAAAAATGGTGAAAAGCAGAAAAGTCACATGCTTAATGTGCTGACTGTTTGTCTTTGCTGCACGTAAGCAGAAAACGATCATTGCCACAAACAAAGCAAAGGTCACCTGACTGACGGGATTAGGAAACAGCCTTTCAGAAGTGTTAACACTTGGAGGTTTGACGGTATCCAAGTTACAGTTGCTATGAAGGGAGAAACTATCCATCGAGACCCCAAATGTTTCTGTGGCAGGCTGTAAACATGCTTTTATGCTGTTAAACTGGCTTTTTAACATGGAAGTCTGTGGGATGGATTCACATCACACTAAGGGGAACTGCAGTTTTTGTCTGTTCTGCATTAAACTTTGGCACCATTAACTCCACCAGTGCTTTCCTGCAGTGACTTTTTAAAACTGACATGCAATAAACTGCATGCTTTTAAACAGTGAATGGTTCTTTGAGGCTGAAATGTTTTTATCACATCAATTAAACTTGTGCATTTATCCCGACTGCAGAAGCTTTATTATACGCAGGTCTTCTGTCATAATTCTTCAATTAAATGAGGGCAAAGCCTCCTTTTGATCGCCTCCGTTAAGGTTGCTGCTTTGTGTTGTTAATACAAACTCAACACTTTGTGCAGTGGTTTCACATTTACAGCTTTGCATTGGACACAGCAAAACAGAGAATGGATCAATGAGACAGAAGAACTACTTTATTATAATGTCGAGTCTGTTTTATAAATCTGGCTGACACATTGTGTAACCACTTTATGCACCTTGGTCACTCTGCAGAGCTCCTTTCAGCTGCTCCATTATTCACCCGGGGTCACCACAGCGGGCAACTCTGCATGTTTGATTTGACAGAGGTGTCCTGATGCAACCCCTAAGGGATTTGCGTCTTCTCGGGGGATAGAGTCGGGGATCTTTCGCTTGTTAGGTTAATGTGTAAACAGTTAAACTTTTTGTGGCATAAAGGCCTTTGTTGCTTTCCCGGCTTTTAATTAACTGCCAGTTTTTATTAGAGGAAATACGGCGCATCCGATGTGGGGAGGAAGTGAGAATTTAGCTGTAATCATATCCACAAACCTTCATCTGTCTTTGTGAGAACATGTCACATCAAACTAGATCAGTCATGTTGTGTCCGTGCATCAGCTCCACTCTTCGTTCAGTCCTCTCTCATGAAAAGAAGCAACAGGAAACTGTGTAAAGCAGAGTATTCGAGTGCTGCTCGTTGGATTTCACTTCTTGCAGATGACTCACTCTAAGACACTTTTTTTGTCCTTTATCCTGTTGGCTTGTTCATTTCTGTTGTTCAGAAATGGTAACTTGACTGGTTCTTTGGCATGCACACTGGGATTGAACCACCAGCCTCCCGATTAGTAGATTAGTAAATGACCTGCTGCACCTCCTGAGCCACAGCCGCCCCTTAAAACAAGCGTTTTCAATTGACGAGTAAGAATAGATTCATCTGCACAGCCTGTGTTTCATCCCACCTAATTTCATTTTTAGCCCACAGGTACACAAAAACTCTTTGTGCATTTCCCTTTTTTGCTTGGTGTTTAATTTTTAACGACACACATCCCACTCGCATCACCGCGTTCGCCGCTTCGTCTCGTTTTTTCTGTTTATGTTCCGTCGGCCTCGTTGTTGTTTTCTCCATTTTACCATCATCTTTATTCTCACTCTCCTTCCTTCTCTTTAAAGCAGCTGTGTGTTTTTGCAAAACCTCTTTGGATTTCTTTTGCTTTTGCTTTTTTTTCTTCTGTTTTCATCATTTTTTGTTTTTTATGCAAAAAGAAAAACACGTCTGCGTATCCTGAGCTTCAGACCTCACCTGTCCTTGAGCCGTTAGTTTTAGTGTGTTAAAAATAAAATGTGTTTGTTATGAAAAACCTCATAAACAATATTGATCTTTTACAGAATAGATTTTATCATATAAACTGTCTGCGATGTTATGCTTGAATTTTTAGGTTGTAGCCTCATTTAGTATTTATGAAGCACAGCTAGACTCTCCTTTCTCCTCTTCCTCCCAGGCCACCCTCCTCTCCATCCACTCATACATGACTATCGTTCCTCCATCTGTTTACCTATTCATGCCGCTCCTTCTGTGCTCATCCGCCCCACACTGCTCTGCTCTCGTCTTCTCCTGCTAGTCACCCAACTCTATTTATAGACCTCACTCGTTCCTCCCTCATTTCTTCCTGTCATTCACATTTTCCTTTTCTCTGTGCTTTTCACTGCTTATCTCAGTCTCCTTCATTCTTCCTCCTTTCCCCTGCCCTGATTCTATCCATTCTTTGTCACTTTCCCCTTCCATATCCTCATTTATCTCTATCCCGTCTCCTCCCTTCCTCTCTGTTTACTTCCTTCTCTTTCCTCATCCACTTCGGTCTGACCCATATCTGTGAATGACATCATCCAGAGGCTCATTCATCAAAATATCTTCATTCTGCTCACAACAACACTGTTGCACCAAGTGTAAATTGATATGCATAAGAATTAGATGTAATCCCTCAAACCAGTTTTCTACAGTTTGTGATGGAGTCCACAGACAGTCTGATAACCATTTGAGTGACAACCTCATCCCGAGCCACAGACTCTGAGATCTTTTCTAACCAATCTGCACGACAGAGTACTGCCTTCATGTTTTGGCAGCTTACGTCAAAGTTTTAGCTCGTTTTAATGGTAATGCGAGCTACTGTACACCTCGATCTACACCCGGAGGCTGAATTGAAATCTTTCCTACACCCTGAGTGTGCTGTTCTGCAGCTCTGGCTGATCATACATAAACATGGCATCATTTAACGTGGTGTATTTGGCACAGATAAAGCACCGAAGCAAAACAAACGTTTGCAGAATGCAAATCTGCACCAGGAAAAAAT